TTTGGAATTTCATTCGAAAAATTTCTTTTACTTAAATTTTTTTTAAAACATATTGTTCAAGAGATTGTGCACTTTGGAGAGTTAGTGCTGCACATAATTACTGCAGTTGCATGAGAATATGTATTGAAGTGGTCACGGCTGCTGCTGAATAATTCATGGCGAGACGTCCGAGAGAGCTAGCAGGACGAAAGGGTGCACCATAAAGGAGAGTTAAGTGTGAGGCCGACAAAATCAAAATGCATGGCAGATAAGCGCCATCGCAGGCTAGGGTCACATGTGCGTGAGATGATCCATGTGGCCCATCGCTCGCCGGGCTTATTGGCTCTGCGCTCGGAATTTTTCCTTCTCTCGCATTTATATTTTTCTGTGTGGTCCTTTGCCGTCGTCACTGCTCACAGAAATCGGTTAGGTACGCATCGTGTTTACAATTGCGATACTTCTAGTATTCTTTTAGTATTCATCACGTCTCGCGGCCTAAAACGCTTATTTTTCTGTCCCACACGCATACATTTGGAATACTCTAGGTTTACTTTTGACAGCTCGCCTGCTGCGCGACCCTTGCCGGCCGCGCTCTAAAATACATGCGTCCGCATCCCTCCCCCTCCTCTCTATACAAAACACAATAGTTTGACGAGCAGGTATAAAAACCCTCCCTCATAAGGCCCGTGTTAAACAGGTATACAGTTTTTAAAAAGTAAAGCAAGTGAATAGCAAAAGTATAGCTGAAGTATCGCAAAAGTAAACACGATGCGTATCTAAATTTTTTCTGTGAGTGGCTGCTGGAGAGAAAAAAAATCCAATCTGGAGCTGATGAAGTTGGTCCGTGAAATAAAACGCGTTCAGGCAAACACCCCACGATAAGGCCCATAAATTGTGATTGAACTGTGTCCTCGCCAATTATCTCGAGCACCAGATCAGAAGCGTCAGCAGCTCGCCTAGCTGATGACATAATATGCAATCAGGACAAATAGCCCCGGGGCCGCTGCCAATCACGACTAATCGTGTGTTCATGTCCGACCAAGATGAGCTTCGCATGTCTCCTCTCCGCTTTTGTGTTGGATTTGTTTGCTCGAGAGCAATATACGACTTTTTGTCGGACAAAATGTTCTGTGTAAACGCACTGATTGTGTGTTCCTCGTTAAGGGGAGCTGCACCAAATGAGACGAAAACACCAAGAAAGCGTTCCTTGCAAAAGCAAAAAACGAAGTGAAGAGTAGATGAATCTATAAACAATTTGTTTTATTGGGGATTAATTAAAAAAAAAATTAATGAATAACTATACAATTTTCTATACAATGCGTTATTTTTGCCTTTTCATAAATTTTAAATGTTGAGAGTTACTTATCGTTCTTCCGATACCCTCTCAAAAAATCAATTCATTTATTTATGATAATTAATTAATCAATTTATGAGACGTAAAAAAAAATTGTAGAAAATTATTAAAATTATGGGCGTTAATCTACTATTCGATGCCACAAGTTTACCTCAGACTCTCCAGAGCTCCAATTTTAGACTGTAAAGTAATTTGTTAAATGAAGGGCAGAGTCATTTATATGAAATTACAAATGATAATTGAAATTAATCAATTTTATTTGATTTATTTTTGACTTTGTAAAAGTAATACTTTATGCGGCAAATTTTATTTTAATTTTACAAATAAATAATATAAATAGTTTCTTTCTAAAATAATCAATATATATTTAAATAATAAATTTAAAGTAAAAGTTTTTATTTATTGAGTTTATTAAATGGTATTATATTATCTGAAGATTCCTTTTGGGACTAAAAGATTATTTAATTGTTTCAACTGCATTTACTTGAGAACATATTATTCTTTGGAAATACCCTTTTCACATTCCCTTCAATGGAAGCAAAATAACAATTTCTCGTTCAATTGAATGGGTTAATTAAATTTTTTAAAAATAGAAAGAAACGCTTTTTTTAAACTTTTTTACAAACACTCACATCACGTGTGACACCTTCATCGCATGTTCTAAACGCAGATTGACTTTCACCGACCACCAACTGAAAGTGCAGTCCTAGTCCTCCCCCCTCTGTATGTGTAATTACTAGATCATATCTCCATAATTTGCAACGTCATTATGACTCTTTTACGTGCTACAAATTTTACTAAAACACGGCCTCATGCTGTGCGCAATTTTTTCCCAGCTCACTCGGAAATTGCTCATCATCCACGTCACGCTTGGTAACTTTTTACTTTTTCTCTGCCAGGGGAGGGGAGACAGAAAATCAAACTGATTGCGCGTAATGGTCAACGACTCCAACAGACCGAGAAATATTTGAGCTCTTTCGCGCAAGAGGAGGGATGAATTATTTCTAGTGATGCTAAGACCGAATTAATGGCGGCGCCAATTTAATCCCAGTGCTATTTCTGCTTGGCAAGAGTTACAGAAAAAATAGCACTCGCCAGCAGCGCAGCTGATTAATATTGAAAGCTGGTGTAGAGCGCGTGTATTTTCGTCAACAAATAACACGTTGCTTTAAAATCGAGCTAGAATGCCAGTTGCTCTAGAATTTAGAACTTTGAGTTTTATTTTGAATTAAAATTCTTGGCATCGAATTTAATTTGAACAAAATCGAGACGGAAGAGTAAATCAAGAGTTGCAGATTTATGCAGCTGGTGCAGCACGGTTGTAGCACACGTTGCATAACTTCAGCAAAATAGCATTCCTGGGTACTTCCGCTTTTCACAAACCACGTCTTGGCCACGCGAACTGAATGAAAAATGCAAGCCGTAAATGCAGTGTGGGCGGTGAATGAACGTAAACTCGCGCTCTTACTACACACATTTTTATTATCCGGCCATTAAATTTGCTAGTAAGATATGAGCGGGGCCCACACACAATGTGGTTCATTCACCAGAGGAATCTGCTGTTTATGGTCAAACTGCTGCGGCCGTTTGCACCTTGTAAATCGTCGTTTTATGGGTTTATTTCATCGGCGGCTTTCCAAGTCGGAGAGCAAGGGCCCGGGTAATAATCAGAGTTTCATTGCTTTTTTCTACGTCATTAGAATGACGTGTTGTTGTGCAGCAATAAAACTCGCACACCATGAATGAACCGCGTGTCTGTGTCTTTACGGCCGCCGTAAAATATTATTCCAAATTCAATCACGGCACTCGGTGTGTTTCAAGTGTCGAACGGCAGAGGTCGCCACCACCAAGAGTTTTCCTCCAAAGGTTTTGAAAAATACAAATCGTAATTTTTAGTGGAGCGATTTCCAGAAATAGGGCAACTTTCAGCAAGTTGGCATTCCTGCCGGGGGCCGGATCGGCCCGATTTAATGGTCTGATATCAAATGGAAATCTTTGACAAATGGTCTCCAGGGCGGCCCGGCTGCGAATCATCCCCCAATGAGCCCCCTCGCGCCGCCCTGCCCCGCTCTCCATTCGTTCCCGCCGGGGTAATAAATTATGCAGGAATCTGAGCGGCGCAAAGATGGCCGCCGCCGCACCGACCAATCACGGAGGGCGGCGGCCATAAACGTCGACTGCTATCTGTGCCGCGCGTAAATAAAAAGCAGCAGCGGCGGCGGCTGCGGCCCTCCCCGCGAGGGAAAAGTTGAGGCCAAACTCGTGCTGTCGCTCTGCTTGTCGACCGGCAAACTAAGCTGGAAAGGCGCCAAATTTGACTGCCGACACTTGTTCAATAATGCGATGGAATTCGCCTGCATCCCAACAAGCGCTCGAATTTCGCTTTTTTGCTGATTGTGCCGGCAAAAAAAAAAATAAAACAATGGGATGGCTCAATGTATAAAATTTATGAGGTTGCACTCGTCACTACCCTAACTATTTGCAGGTGGCTACTCATAGAATTATTTATTCTCCACTTTGTCAAGCCCACATGATGCAAATGTGGGCTTTTATTTTTTTTATAACTCATTAATGCTACCATATTTTATGAACATTATTATAACCATTTCAATAAATACTTTGACATTTTCTCTGACAAAAAAATTATTTCAACATATAATTAAATTTTTATTAGTAATTTTAATTATATATGTATTATAATTATTATTTTTGTTTATTTGTCCAAATTGTTTTGATTAAAGCAACTCTTAAGAAGTCATTTATTAAATTCTTTCTTTCTTTTTGTCATCAATTTATTACCATTTTATTATTATTGTACAAAAAAAAAAAAAATACCTGCCTGTTATATTGAAGTAGTTTTGAAGCTGCGCAATTTTCATGCAGCTGAGATTGAAATAGTTAATCCTTACCACATCCTTTGATGAATTTCTCCGCCAGACCGTTATTCTAACAATATCTCCAATTCGCCCTTACTGATTAAAGACCGAGATATGCGCCGCCAGCAGGATTAATTCTATGCGCACTAATGGTAATTTTCATAAATCAGCCCAAACCGGGCCATGGTGGCAGCTAATTGTTAATTGGGAAAGTGGCGGCAATGGAGGCACCACTTGGCCCGAATTGATTTACGGCCTCGGAACAAGCTGATATTTGAAATTCCCAGAGTTCGTCACGCCGGCTGCATATATACAATTTTCATCTGGCTTGTGTACAAATATAATCACACGCTCGTTTATCGCCGCAATAAGTTCCAGATGCTGCTGCTGGGTGCACTCTCTTGAGAATATTATATGAAACAAGCAGGCGTATATATTAATTTAATTTATCATGCGTGTGTGCAATTGAAAGCACTTTGAAAGACGACGCCACTCCCTTTTCTCACACGACAAGTTTCCACCTGAGTGGAGATTCTGGACCCTTTTGCTTCATTACCCACGGCAGTTGGCCGTAACTGAAAATTGCACACATGCCTCTCCGTAGAATGGTTATTCAAGTGGCTATATTCAAGGGTTGAAATAATAATATCGTACAAAACAAGCACAGAAAGAGAAAATTCGCCATAGATGAAAGGTAATGGGGCGTTGCAGCTGCGTAGAAAATAAATTTATTTCACAACTCGTTTTTACCTTACATGATTTAATATTTAATAACGTGTGAGTATAAAGCTCTTTCGTTTATTTAGCAGTAAAAATTATATGTTATTGCTAAAATTTTGTACACTTTGACCCTTTATATACTTGATGCGCCCGTAAAACAGAAATAAAAATTAATATAAAACAAATTGCTCAATTCCGCGAGAGCCCGTCCGGCAGTCTTGGCTCAAGAATTACAAAATTCTGGAATTTAATGGTCCATGAAGCAGTCGTGAAGCTTGACAGCTAAAAAGCTCGTCTTTTTCTCAAAGTAAAAAGAGAAGAAGCAAGTGACATCAGCAGTCACACATACACACGCTGTTATTGCTCTACTGCTCTCTTGGCTGAAATGAAAAAAAAACACGCCATCAATTTAATTTTATTGCCGTCCACTGTGCATGCAATTGAAAATATTTACAGAGTCATTAAGGCACATTAAAAAGAAGCGTAAAACCTACACAAACAAACAATAAAGTGAGCCAACGACATCATAACGATTTTTGAAAATGGAGCCCAAGTGAGGCATTTCGAGATTTGCTGCCGATGTGTATCTGTTTGATGTTGACGACCCATTATTCACCATAAAGTGACGTCACTTTATGGCACACACACACTCCGCATTTACGACATTTTAAACCCGCAAGAGTCTCTTTTACTTATAAATACTCGGGGCGGTATTTCTAGGGCAGCAAACAATCGAGGCGGCTCGGCCGGCGCGAAGTCGAAGCTGGGCCAAAGTTTCTCCGCGGCTCACCCTGAAACAGAGATATCAAGTTGTTTAATTCTTATTTCAATATCCTCAATTGACCATTTCATATTCAAAAATAAATAAATGTAAATAAGCATGTGATATGTGTATTGATCAGCACAGCTCATTTGATTAAATTTTATGTTCAACTCAAATCGACGTATATATTTATTTTATTTTTCGCTAAATGCAACTACAATTAGATTATATAATCAGCATGAAGCTGTTCCATTAAAATACAAATAATTTCTGAATGTCTGACACCTTGCAGATCTATCGCTGAATAAAATGCACGGTCTTCCTTTAGGACACGCACGAAATTTATGTATTTTACAGATTAATCGTGATATTACTAGCATTAGTATAATTTGAAATTAATGAACTTAATATACCTGAAAAATAAAACAATCAATTATTTAATTTATATTTGTAATAAATAAGATGATAAATGAAATCAATTGAAAAGTTATAATAATTAGTTATAGTAAAATTGATTTTTTAAAGAGAAAAAAAATAAGTTCTTTCCAATAAAAAAATATATAAAAGTTTATTGAATATCCACAATGGTTTTGCTTTGATTCAATTTGAAGCTATGAAACTTCTCTCGCTGACAAGTTTCTCGCCTTTACTTCCAAGAATAAATCTGTGCTAGGAAAACATTATTTCCGAACGGTTATGGTTTATTTTATGAAAAAATGGAGCCGGCCGCCGTTGGTGACGATAGAAGCGAACCGCGCGCAATAATAATATTTGTTTTATAGTGCGGCAATAAATCTAGTGGAGCGATTCCTTTGATGTTGGGTGTTTTCTCAGCGTCTTGGACAGCCTCTAGTTTTTCAGGCAGCGCTCCGACGACCAGAGTAAATTGAAAAACAATCACACACACTCACGCGGCTAGAGCTGGGAAATTTTAATCTCACCACATAAAACGAGCCCACATCGCATGATGCAGAAATAATAAATGGAATAACCGTGTTTGCCACGCTCGTTATCACACAAGTCTTTGAAAAAAAAAAAGTAGAAAAATAACAACCGGGCCTAAAATTTTCTTATTTGAATAAAAAATACCTTTTCGTTCGTGACAAATGCGATTTTTATTTAAAAATCGGCTCCCATGATTCTGCATATTAAACATTTCCTTGAATTTTCCATGCGAGCTAGATGCGATCTGCTTGGGAGAATTTGAAATTAACTTTCAAAGTGCATGCAAATGCATGCTGATAAGAAATAATTATAATTAATGGGAAGCCTGCAACCATTTAGAAAATCATATATTATTTTTTTGTATTTTGATACAAAGAGCTCTTAACCAATTCAATTTATGAAAGCATTAAGAGACGCCGAATGAATAAAAAAATTATAAATGGTGGAGAGTGCAAGCGTCGAGAGAAAATGGACTTTTAAAAGAGGCGAGAGCGATAAGCATTTATATATTTCTCGGCAAGAGTATGTTTGTGAGCATCACTTTTGTCCTCTCTGATGAATAATTTAATGCGAGTGTTAAGTGCCGGGAGAAATAATTTCAAATGCGCATATAAATTTTTATAAATATATCTGCAATCTCACGTTTAACCGACAACTGCACATCAAACGAATCGTTTAATTCTCTCTTTTACACTTGCGGCCGAAGACAAGTCTTGATGGAATAAAAACTCACAACATGCAATTTTTTGATCACTTACCAATAAAACCACATGTTTATGCGGCCGACTTTTTTATTGTAAATTTATATATTTTATATTATACGCGTGCAGTGTGCTGGCTTCGCATCGAGAGCGTGGAGGAAAAGTGCTTTAAAAATGTATTTATTGGACAGATTGTATTTCAAGTTTCTTTACGAGGGTATATCAGCCACATTAAATATTCATTCTGCATTGCGGGAAAGGATATATTTCACGAGAAATTATTACACTTTTCCAATCGGCTTGGGTATTGGATTACGATTCTTGGCATTATTATTGTGCTTTAACAAATTGCCTTTTGTAAAAGTCGCAAAAAAGCATGTAGAATAATCAACAAATTGATTTTTATTCATTTTATTACGAAAGAAATTTCAGACTCATGTTTTACTATTTTATTTCTACCATCACTAAAAACAAAAAATTTACTTTTATCTTCTATATTTACGCAGAGAATAAAGCGAATATTAAAGAATGATAGAATAAAATTTATATAATTGCAATTCATGAATATAAATATTTAAAATTATGTTTTTTCATTATCAATTTTATTTCCTTAACTTTAAATATTTCCTTATAAGTCTCTGAATAAAAAAGTTGTTCAAATTTCAAAAGAGGCTTTTATATACTTTTGCGATTTTCTTCTTGAGGTTGTGATGCAAAAGCAAAAGTGCTTCATCTTTTCAAGCCGTGATACCGGTGCTCACTTTTCGGTCCAAACGATTCCTTTGATAAGCAAATGCGGCGCACTCTTTCTTCGGGCCCTCAGGGAACGTCGCAGCCAAGATAAAGGTGCGTAAATACACATAAAGGTGGCAGGAAAGGGATAGGCAACCTAGCGCGGCGCGAGAAAGTAATGCGTCTCGGCCCGTAGGGTGCAGAGCGTATAGTTTTTTTACGCACGAGATACGCCCGTCGATAAGGAATAAAGTAACATACAATATGGCTCCATTGACACTCCCCGCAGGGATGCATATCGCCGCAGAATGGATAAATACCTAATATACGGCGTGCTGTACAGGCAGTCTAGCTGCGGGGGCAGGAAATTCGCCCCTCGCTGCCTCGAAATGAAGACTTACGCACTCACTCGGCTGATGAGGGAAAATGGAAAGAGAATTCGTCGTCGATCGATTGTGATGTGGCCTCTGATGGACTTCTGTTATTGTCTGGGGTTTCTGAAACAACGTCGTAGTTTTTAGGAGAGAATATTGTTTCCTTCCTTAAGCTATAAGTGAAGTTTTGGAAACTTTTATTTATTTAAATATTACATTTTGGCATTTTATATCCATGTTTTTAATAATTCTAAAAATTCCTTTAAAATTTTAAACATTCTTTATTTAAAAATTTAGAAATTTAAAATTCTTTTTTCTATGATTTTTTGATAAACTAAGTCATTAAACTCTGAAACTCCGTCTAGTTTTCTCCATTATAATTTTAAATGGGTCTCTATTAAATGACATAACTTTGGCTGTTTTTTTTCTAAACGTAAAATTTGTATTTGAAAACGTATTTAAAGTCAAAATTTATAACCTCCTCAAGCAAAAAATAGCACCTGATTACCTAAGTTCTCCTTATTATAAAAATAAACCCCACCGCAGCCTTAATTGGTTAATTTGAATTCTCGCTTTTGGTACAACAAATCACGCTTTCGGCTAATAAAAATAAATTTATCCCTTTTCGGGCACCAAGAATCTGCGTTCGCGAATTATTTTTCGCGGCATCTCCAGAGAGACGACATATTTTTTTCTCTCATTCCTCGCAGAATAATTCTCATTTCTCAGAGCGAGTGACACTAACTGACCAGTTGGCCTTTCGCGAGTGGAAATAATTCAAGAAACGCTTTTGGATCCACGTCACGTGTGTGTGTGTCTGCCGGGGTGAAATCTATGCAGCCGGCAGCACACATATAGACTCTCAACATTGATGGTCCCCTCTCGCAATGATGGAAACTCTCTGCAGCTCCTATATATCACCACCGCGTACCAAGCTGGCACACTCTGCTTTAAATTCCTGCGGTGTAGAAAAGTTATATAATTTGATATTACAGCCGCGCACAGCACCCGAAGCGAAGGAATATCCTCTTATAAGCTTTTCTCCGCGCTGGCTGCTGCTGATGATGGCGCGCCCGAAATTGATGTTCTAACTTGGGTAAAAAAAAACTCTTGCCGCCTTTCTTTATAAAAAAAAATCGAGAGTTAAAATATGGTCTCCACGGCATAAAAGCCACTCGTGGCGTGGAATTTTTCTTGTCATACTGCGGAGTCAGATAAGAACCAACCCAAAGTGAACACACACATATAACCACCACAGAATGCCACATGGACGCAATATGCGAATTTAATTTTAATTTTTTTTTAAATTTATTGATTTTTTTTTTTTTGATCAAAGATAATTTTAATAATCCTCTAAATTAAATAGGAATATATTAATACATAAATATTTATTATAATTATTTATTTTATCATTTATGTTAATTTTTGCGATTTTATTAATAGATTTGAAATTAATTTGAATAATTATCTGTTTTAGTTTGTTTATAGTAAATCTTTTTCATGCAATTAATACGTTTTCAAGAAGTTGATAAAATTATAGGTTTCTTTGGAATTCTATATATTTAATTCAATGTAACCCCCAACCTTACAGAAAGTAAATGACATTTTTCAATGTATGCCTTGCTTACTAATTTGGTAGCTCATAAATGATTATGATTAATTATTGAAAATTATAGAGATTAAAAAGAGTTAGAATTTGCTTTATATTGATGATATAAGCAAGTACAATTTTTGTAAATTTAACCTCTCTGTAAACAAAAAAATAGCAGAAGGATCGTTCAAAATTTGAGATTTATATTTGAGTCACTTTAGTCGGATTGCGTTTTCAATTTCAAAGTTGCACGGGGCAGCAGATGATTATCAATATAACCTTTGGGATTTTGTTTGAAAAGCTCCACTGCACAAACAGTTTAGTCGTGGCGCCGTGCGTCCGAGGTAATCGGCTATTTTTCCGGAGCTTGATCGTTCCTCTTAATTGCGTCCATCACGACTCCATCAGCGAGAGCAGGGGGCTGGGACTGGCTTTAATATATAAAATATATAGTGGCCCATATCGATCAGCGTCCATCGAATTGCCAAACACGGGCAAAGTGCTCCGGCCTAACGACACGTGTAATTTGGCCGGACAAACAAAACACGGCTTTGCCTACACGGATCTTTCCGCGCTCCAAATTGCTTTTTATACAATATTGTATAGAGCGGGGGTGCAGGAAAAGCTTTCGGCTGGCCCTGCGGGGTATTATTGGCACCACCCGGACGGCTGCATGGAAATATTATTATTGCCCGGCGCCGGCTGATAAACAGCCAAAGCTGGATCTATATTGAAACTGAAATCCCCGGGCTTGGCCATGTTTATTGAAATTCCGAGGGAGGTGCATGCAAAGCAGCATAATATGCAACCGGGGTGCATTTCGTGCGGAAGGAATCAGCCTTGCCATTGTTCCGGCATACAAATGGAGAATGGAAACGGCCATCAGTGACGCAAATGAGACAAGGGACTTTATCTCTCACATTTTTTTTGCCTCGTCAGAGAATAAGGATCTATTCAAATACTCCGGCCGGTCCCACGAGAGAAGAAACAGGAATTTATGTATAACAAAAGAAGTGAAGCGTTAAATTATTTTAAATGGTCCTGTCCAGCAGCCGAAAAAATTCCTTGCTAGATTTAGTCTTTTTTCGGACGGTCATGGAGGTTATGGAAGGAAAAAATACATAACTTTTAAAGCACACGTGTTTCAGTTGTAAGGCCGTTAAGGCAGTAAAAACTTGAACTGGCCAATCCAGTTGACTCGAAAATGACTGTAAAATTTTAACGTCACTGTTGCACCCCAAAATCGGGCAAAATGCATCATTTTCGAGGCAGATGGCATTTCGACAACAGGCTTCTTTCCACTCGGCAGAGTTGAGGTAAAAAGTTTCCTTTCAATTTATTCGGCGGCAATTTTTCGTTCCACTCGGGTATTTTTACAAGAATTGCTCTCAAAAGGGTTGTTTTTTGGGGCAAGAACTGATTAAAAATTCCATTTGGAGCGGCGCAGGTGAATTTGCATCGCGCTGCTGAATTATTCAAGCAAAGTGCGTGCTGCAATATTTTGGGGCCGCGCACTTTAAGGAAACAGAGGCGCGCAGTTGCGCCGGCCATTTTAAACAATGACAGGGGAATAAATTAATAAAGTTAGTGGCAGGTGTTATATTGTCCTTTTGGGTGGCTTAAAACAACACCAAAGACAACGACAATCTACTGGCTCAATCCCTTAGGGTCGTATTTTCATCTACAATATTGCACGGTCTTACACAAGCGAGCAACGCAAACGCAGCGTTGCTCAGCCGGCTGCCTACAAAAACGGCAATTTATGTTGTGAGCACAGAGACACCCTGGTTAATCCGCTCCGAGAAAATTTGCGCAGCTAAAACACGCCTTGTTTTTCCCGAAACCAAATTTCTTTCATAGGAAATTTAGCTAAATATTTTCACTATAAAAAGTATTATTCAAGTAACATAAACTTTTAAAATTGAAATAATTATTTTATGTTTTTTTTTCTTGAGACGATCAAGAAGGGAATGGGTAGAAAAAAAATTAGTTTTATATATTGTTTATGAATAATTTTTAGCTCACTAAACTTTAAGGCCATTGAAGGCAGTAAAAACTTTAATTGTCCAATACTCATATTGATTGAAAAATAACATTAAATATTTATTTACATACGTATAAAGTTAATAAGCGCAAAATTAAAAAAAAAAGATATTGTTTTTTAATTTTTTTTAATAACAATCTATGCAGGAATTGAAGTTTCTGAAATTATATTATTATTATTATTTTTCTGGCTCTTCTATAGCTCTTCATTGAAATTTATTCATTCCCACGCCACTTTTTTCCAAAACGGTTGGCATTTTGTTTTTTATTCTAGGATGAATTCCAGCTCGGAACTACATTTGGAGCATGTCAAATTTGTTGTCTGTGCCGGCGGCGGCGGCAGTTTGAAATGAAGTCGCACTTTGCGCCTGGCGTGTATAGCTTCAGAGTGCGGTGCGCCCGGCTGTATATAAGAAATAAAACAGACGGTCGTGCTTCTTATAAAAAGGAAAGTGAATTGCCTCCTGCTCGGTGTGCCGAACGTCCTCCTTTATTGTCGAGACAGCCCTTTTATTGCGCACATTTTCTAGCTCCAGAACGAGAAAAAGCAGTCGGGCGAATGCACCTTCAGGGTGCATCAAATAAAACGCCGGCCAGCATTTCAAATTAGAGCACACGGGCGTCTGTGCTCTGTGACAAAACAAAATGATGCATCGTCTCGTCGCCCTTTGTGCGCCGCATTTTCTCTAGGGGTGAATGCTGCCGCCCGGCCGACTCGGGTGTGGGAAAATGGCTTCGGGCTGGCAGACCAATTGCCGCTATATCCATCGGCTGGCGTGTTTTCCACAGATGGAAAAGTGGAATTGCGTCGGATGCAACTTGATTTTTGCACGCGCGTGAATTGAATTTTTATCGGCGGAATGTGGAAAACGTGTTTTACTTCGCCTCATTGAGCTCGCAAACGAGCGTGTTGCGTTTCAGATGGAAAGGAAATTTTATACAACACGGCCCACAAATTTCTCAGCGTAAATGAAAAACATGAAAACAGGAGAATTCCGTAGGGAAATAAAAATTTGGGGTGGGTGAGGAAAATGCACTTTTTTGCCAAGTTATGCAACCGGCTCGACTTGCATGTCGGCGGGGATGCATAAAATGTATTTTTGGAACTTGCAATATCAAAATCCTAATTTAAACTCCAACTTTTAAAAGTATGATGAAAACATTTCTTTACCTTCCTTTTTTATTAATCTTTATCAATTTTAAATTTGAATTTACATTTAAAAAATTAAAGTTATATTTTCATGTTAATAAATTATCTATCTCATAAACACCTTGAAAATGAACTGAAATAATATTTACGATTCAACGCCTCAACAATTTAGTAGTAGTGGAAATTTCTAATCTGAAACGTGATATCTCTGTACGTTTTAAAACGGACATTTGGTCGGTTTAATTCGTAGTAAAAACGGTCATAAAAGCAGGTAAAATTGGCTGAGAAATATTGCGTGATAATATTATAAAGTCCTGACCTGGGCCACGCTTTGTTTGGTGACGTGGATACTGGCTCAGTGCTACTGCAATGAGAGAGAACGTGCGAGTGAGTGAGTGGCAGCCGCACATCAAGTTGAATGAATGCGGCTGAATGACAAGCAGCGCACTGCAAAAAGCCTCATTTATTCCGTGCGGCGCTGCGTGTTACTTGTATATATACCAAATATCAGCCGGCGGATCAAGATTTGCATCAGGAAACGCGCGCGAGTGGAATTCGCACACCGACCCCTCCTCAATGAAATGCCTATTGAGTTTTTGCAAGTGGCTTTTTTATTTCATTCAACTATTTCCCCCTTGCAAAAAAAAGTTCCAAATTTGTTATTTTATTCATAACAAATATAGTGAAAAAAAACGAGAGAGGCAATGAAAAAAAATAAGGTTTTTTAACAGTTTAAATTGAATTTAGATGGTTGTTAAATTTTTTTATTAAATTTAAAAATTTCACTGAATGTCAGATAATTAAAAATAAAAATTATATACAGCGATATATAGCTAGGAACTCCCACTATCTTTTAATTTCAATTTTTAGCTGAAATTTCTTGCATGTAAATATGCAAGAAGAATGCTGATTATTTTAATTTTCTGCTGTTAAAAAATGATAGCAATGGTGTCTCTTGCAAATTAAAAGTAAAAATTGCGGCGTAGTAATTGTTACCGCGTGTACCATTTTTCGCCGCAAAATTACGAAAATAACTGCGTCGTCTCTCAAAAAAGCTAGATTTTTCTATCTCTTGTCCCGCATTTTCATAATTTAATTTGACAGTTTAGAAAAGAATTACGCGCCGAAATTTGCATATCTCCGCAGCACGGCGGCAGAAATCCACGTAAAAAGGCGAGATGGGAAAATTGGCGGCGCAGTCGAGAGAGGGTTGAACCGGGGCTGTTCCGAGCCGTGATAGCTGTGTGTGTGCGAGAGCACAGCACAGAATGTACATATAATGGCGACTATAATGGTGCAGCCAGGGCCAACTTTATTGATCCATCCAGTTTGCAGGCACACAACTCGACACTGGCCCAGCCAGCAAAAACACCCTCTCTCAGCCCTCGCAGCTCTTCCTCGCCTGCTCGCTCGGAAACACACCCCGAAAACTAACCAGCAACTCTCTTGGCGAATATTTTCGACTCGCTGCTAAATTTCTGAGCCACGGAAAAGTTTTTATGTCATGTAAGAGTTGTGGAATAAGTTTGCTGACAAAAGTTTAATTTCCAGCATTCATGTTTCCTGGAATAATTGAGATGGAAACAAATTTTTGTTGAAATAATTTTTTCTTAAGAATATTTAAACGGTGAAAAAAAATCACAGCTAAGAATGATAGTGATTGATAATGAAATTTAATTTAGTGGAAAATAGAAAAGGTGGTAAATGTTTTTTGCCCAAATGCACAAATTTAAAGATAAATAATAAATTTCATTGATTGATTCAATTATAATATAACGGTATTTTTCTTCAAATTTTTAATATTCTAATCGTGCTAATCAAACAATGTAACAAAACTAAAATATTCAATTTTGAGCCAATATAATATATTATGTGAAATGAAGTTTGTAATTAGGAATTTAAGAAGTTAAATTTTTAGTTAAGAAAAGTTTTAAAGAACGGGATGCTTTTTATCTCCAATAGAGCTTTTTAAATTGATGTGCGCTTTAAAATAGGTTATTAGAATTTATTAACTAATTAGGATTAATTTTTTTCTTTTCTATCTTACTTAAAATTCAGTAAAGAGATTAATATATAGTTAAATTAAGGTGAAAATTATCCTTCTTTTATCAAATATTTCCTTTTGTATCCCACGGTATAATTATGAACATTTAACAAGCATTTAAATTTGAATGGAGTGGAAAAAACTGACAAGCGTCTCTCTATTGTTCATTGTCGGGCAGCAAATGGTCTCTGCGATGGATAATTCCATGGGTGGAAAGTGCAGGCGGAATGCTAACGAGGAGCTAAAGCGAGCTGCCTGCATGAATGCAGCAGCTTTATCGACCCATCATGCACCAAATTATGGCAGCTCTCGTGCAGAGCTGAGCAAGAATGGCGGCTCAATTATTCATCGCTCGGCTGCTGTGTGTGAAAAATATGCAATTTGCGATGAGCCCCAATCTTTCACCCCATAATATGCAGAGGAAGCGCGCGTGTGTCTTTGTGTCACCGCAAGATAGCTGATTGGCAAAAAGAAAGTGAGCGATTTCGGCTCAAGTCGATGGGCGAGGAGGCGCCCAAAAGTTATGGCGCGAGAGAGCCCTGAGGGTGCACACCCCAGCAAAAGCTCTCTCTCATTTGGGTCGCTGCGGCACTTTGGCCGAGGCATGACGCGAATTTTGATACCAGCCCTCGCTTCATTTGAATATCGCACAGAGGAACGGGGCGATCCTCAAAATGGAAATCTTTATCCTCCGAAGCTGAAAGAGGTCAAATGGAAATGTGGGCAAAATGTTGTTTCAAAGTTAAGTGAGAACGGAGCGTGAATAATGAGCGTCTAAAAGTGACAAAGGGCGGCTTTGCTATTAATATAGCTGCAGGTCTTGCTCTTGTTTTTGAATAATATTAGTAACTTCAGTTTTAAATTTCCAATAAATTCAGTCTAGCCTTCATCATTAAGGGAGTGCAGGTGTACAACAATATTGATTTAATTATTTTGGATATTTCGTAAATTTTATTTATAATTTTTATTTATTGTCTTTAATAATTATATCTCTCAAAACAATATTTAAACAAATGCAGCTATTTAAATACATATGAAAATTACATAAATATTAAAATAAATAATTGTTAATTAAAAAAATATATTTAAACAACTAAAATTAGTTAACGAGAAAAAATAAATTTGTGAATGTTTGTTGAAAGTATTTAATTTACAGTAAAAATACAAAAAAAATATTTTTTTGTATTATTATTTGTAAAGCTTCTCAGTTGAATATTCAACTTGGAATATTCATCTTCATCGCTGGTTATATTATGCATTATATATAGCTAGAAGAACTTACTTGATAAACAGGCCGTATAGCTTGAGCAGTTTATTAAAACGTAAAGCTCTGTATGAAGTGATGGAAAAGAAAAAAATTTTAATCGCAGTAGCTTGATTAGCTGCGTAGAACGATGGCAGCTCTTTGGAGTTAATTATCTCTGATGGATGGCGGAAGGGACTTCTTTCTTTCATGTTAACCGAGAGCATTTTTTCCTTTTCGAGGTTACACTATGCAGCAGCCTTGTCCGGTTTCTCTACCCAACCCGAACCTCTTGATAAAAACTCACTCAAACACTCAACTTTCGAAACAACCATTTGACACAAACCAAAAAACCTCTCTAAAGAAATCATCTTGGTATATAATGCAGAAAAAATCCCAACAGATTTTTGGACTCGCGTCAAAATTTGTCTGCGCATACTTTTGGCATCATTTTCAAATGCGCTCATGCTCATATACGCATTTAAATTTTTACGGCCGTGCTTCTTTCTTTTGCCATTATTCAGAATTTATTGCTCGTAAATCATTGTGTAAACTCGCTTGTCATGCTGTAAGGAGTCTGTGTTTTTTCAAAAGGCGTTTTTTTTCCTGAGCAGTGTTTACCCTTTTTCTTTTTTGCAAAATAATGTTGTGGTATAGCAAGAGGACGTATTCAAGATGATAATTTTGTGATAATGTTTGGTATGGCTGAATTCACACTCTATACACAGATAAAAGAAAACTCGCCTTACAGTTTAAACAAACTCGTTTCTATCTTAAACTCTTTTATGGGTGTAAAAAAATTATGGGCTGGGTCTATCTTTGTAATATTCTTGAATAGATTTTAATATTTAGTAACCTCATAATTTTTACATTATTGACTTTCGTCTGTTAAAAATTATTTGCAAATTCTGTCTTTTTTTTATTCAAGCAAATTTTAATCAGAGTCAAGCTGATTTAATTCAAAACACCCCGACTGAAATTAAAAAGTTTCTTGCCAAATTTAATTAGGACCATGCAAGTGTGGGCCTCTTTATACATTGGCATGCATGAATAATAATAATTGTTGCTCGCACCGAGCCTCGCGTATTGCATAAATTTGGCGTTTCTCTCCTCTCGAATGAAATTTATGCGGATAGTCGCACCGAGCGTGCAGATTAAATCTTAATTAACTTTGAATAATTAATCAGAGTTTATACTTCTTGTGTGGCCGCGAATGCCAAATGTAGTTGGAAGATGGCGTCATTCACTCCAGCCGCGGCCAATGGCACTCGAGAGAAGATCGTTTTTCATCCCGTGTGATGGGTGCATGGCCGACCTCGAGCGCGCGGCTAAAACTTTTTCACTTTACCAATGGATGGAGACACGAGCAATCTTATTGAATTTCCTTGCTCCGTTGCCGGCAACCTGGGGAAAAAAGAGAGACCGGCCAGAATTAGCAGTCGTGCTTTGCGTGGACGGTTTTGAATGATACTCTTGGTGCTTTATTACTAACACCATAATACTTTTATTGCACTTTTTTAAAGCGCCTCAAATTATTATTTTGGCCCACTTTTGCGTGGTTTGTTTATGGACAAAGTGCACGATTTTTCCTTTGCGGTTATTGCAGCTAATAAAATATTGTTTTATATATCATTGGAAAGCACTTTCATACTACACAACTTGTGGAGACTTGAAATAGATTTTTATAGTTGCAAATATTTATAAGGATTTTTTTACGGAAGGGATAAAAATATTATTTTAGTCTAATAAGCTGTAATCTTTTATTTTATTTTGATCTTACAAAAGCAAAAAATCACAGACAGGCAAATCAAATTGTCAAATTTGATTTTAGAAATTTTGTATTCATTTTCAGATGCTCTGGACTTGCCAGTGAAATTAATTTACAATTTTGCACTCAAAATATTTTTACAGAACAAATAATAAGGAAAATATAACTTACAAGATCTTATGAGAGAAACGATGTGGCCAGAGTGGTGTCATAACTAAAACTACCCCAAACAGCCAACCTGCTCCTCACCTTCCTTTCGGAGCGAAAAATAGAAATCAGGGAGAAAATACAGGGGATTGGTGCAATTGCGCCCAAGGGATGGAAATCTGGCGCGGTGAAAGTTAGTT